TTTTTCCTGCACAGCAGTACATTGTTGGACTAATGCCTCATTCACGCATAAATGATTCTGTTCTCACTCTTTCTCTATCTCTCACTGATTCCATTCCTTTCAGGGTTCCCTGTCCTCCTCTTCCTCTGCCTTGTGGGTGGCAACTTTCCAGAGGATGGAGCTTCTCCCAGCGGCTGCGTGTTGATGTCACCTCGCACGTCAGCAGAACAGACATGCAGGAACATGGCCCAGCACGTCCTTCCAGCCCACCGAGATCATGATCCTGGACAAGGGAGCAGTGTGTACAGCTCCTTATTACTTAGTACTATTACATTAAAACAAATACATTAAAGTATACATTTAAATGATCTGAATATTTCTTTAACTCAAATCTAAAAGGTTAAATCTGAACACCATGAACATTAATTCACAACATATGCTGTATGAATATAACTCAGTGCCCCACTACATTAGCCAAGTAGATTTAAGCATAAATAACTGTTCGCTGGGCTTGCAAACTTTCAGCCATGTCCCATCTTTTCTCTCACCAATGCAGTACCATAAATATATACATGTGTCAGCACTTTGTGTTAACATAATAAAGTGGCATGTAAAAACACTTTCTAATCTTACCATTCCATCAACGTCCTCTTGTAGTGCCAAGGTGCAGCGATCATACCGTGTGAGGACCTTGTTGCTGACGTGCACGATGTTCACCAGGATTCCTGGTTTTGTCTAAAACTTGTGAAAGCTATAAACAAAAATATCAAATAAGTAGAAACCAACACAGTGTTTTTTTGACTCTGATTATTTAAATTATTTACCAAATCTCTTTGTGTGGGATGTAGATGTCGTCCCCAGCATGATTTGTTTGCTTCCACTGTTTGGAGATCTCGCAGGCCACTCTCCATTGGTGGCTCCTCAGTCGATTCCAGGTTTGATGCCTCATGTTGCTTATTCTTATGCTCTGTAAAGCAAACAAAAAACAAATATAAGCAATGTACCACTATGCATGTATATTACAACTGTATTAGCATGCAGAGGTTTCATAAACAGCACATCATGACCAGTTTATTACCTAAGACAATATGGCCGTGCAGGTCTATGTTTAATGCAGCATCTGGTTCAACAATTTTCTGATACCGCTCTTTGGAATTCCTCCCCACATTCACAGATGGTGCAAAATATTTCTTTGCAAAAAAACATGCACAGAAGGTGTAAGCATATTGAGGAAATAGTTGTTTTTCCTCATGCCAGAGAAGATTTGCTCCACACACTGCCTGTTTAAGCAACCCACTAATTATGGAACCAAGCTGATTCTTGGGAGGACATCCTTTTCGTCTTTGCTATTCTGCTGATGGAAAACATCACTCAAGCAATAGTGCTCAGAAGAGCCAGTTACAGGGTGACAGCCTTCGTCTTCGGGATCCTTTTTCTCTCCTTTTTCTCCCTTAACCATGGCAGCCTGACCTGCAGTCTTCCCTCTGCAGAAAGTTTGAGGTTCTCTGGTGTATGATAGACCAATCTTCCATCATTCTTGGGAAAGGTTGGATTCTCTGGGTAACGCCTGTTTACTTGACTAAAAAGTCCCCTTTGGTAATCATAGACTGTGACATTGGGAAAATACTTCCATGAGAGAAGCATATCCGCTAAATCTCTAGAACTCTCTACCCTGAGGTTGAACTTAACTGAATAAATGACTCTACATGGACAAGAGATCACAGCCCAGCCACCTGTAAAAGATCATGTGTCTCTAGCAAAAGTGAACAATACAATTAAATTCCAAAAGCTTTACATAATTATCACACTTAAGTTGCTATAAAAGGCAGTTATATAAAACATGTATGAATCAATGCTATTGTTAATTAATTTTTTTTTTTATCGGCAGTCTTTAAGGTTGGGAGCGTGTGCTGATGCAGCGTGTTGCCGCTCCCACCACACAGCGAAACTCCTCGGGATTTTTTCAGTTACCTAATTGGAAAAGAGGATATGGACAGCAAATAGAGGAGGTAACGAACAGGCGTCGGGTGGTCTGGGTCGCAGCGGTGAGACGGATAGAGAACTTTCAACATGATATCTCCCTTAATGCGTGTTTGCTCTCAGCATTTTCATAAAGGTGTTGTGTTTAATGCAATTATAATGTGTACTGTGTTACCGGAAGTACATGTGTAAGAAGGGA